TTCCGACAAAATATTCATAGCATAAAATTTATAATTTGTTCTCTAATATTTCTTAGGTCCTAGTAGGATAAAACTATATAAGATGTTATCTAATAAAATAATATAGAATAATGTGAGATGAGTCATGATTATACTAAAATACTCAACAATCGCATAAAATAAATATTGCTAATTAATAAGTCATAATAAAAATAAATATAATCTAAATGTACTAAGTCATGTTAAAATAAGTATGACTAATAAGTACTAACTACTCCATTAATTACATGACAAAATAATATTAAAAGTAAGTTATGTATTTTCACTATCTAAAGTAATGAAAACTAAGAAAATAAATATACAATACTATTATCATTCCTAGCTTTGAATCGAATTTTTTTGTTAGCATTTTTATTGATTTGATATTGCTTTGGACTTTATTTGAGTCACTTACTTTTATGGGTTATAAAGCATAGTTGATCATTCAAAAGTTCTAAATCTTGAAATAATATATTAAAGGAGAGAACTATGAAAAAATTTAAAATATATTTATAAATTATATTACAGTAATTATGTTTATGTATAAAATATTTTTAAAACTTTTATATATGTAATATCGGGTTGGTTTGATTTTGATTTGACTTTTTTTTAGTTAAAATCAAAACAAACTAATTATGATCGATTTTTTTTTTTCTAACATCAAATCAAATCAAACTAAATCATAATCGAATTTTTTTTTCAATTTATCTCGAATTATTGAGTTGATGTGATTTATCGTTTTTCTTATTACTACTAAGAAGAAGAACATTTTTGCTTTTCTCTTCTGTTAAGAAGAAGATCTAGGAGGCTGTTTGATTTGTCTTTCTCATCATTTAACTTTCTGGTTCCAAGGAATAAAAAGGGGGTATTCACTTCCCTCTTTTTCGCTAAACCAGAGGATCTTTTAAATGAGGGTGGTTTCTTTCGAGGAGCGTACTATTCACAAGTTGATTACGTTAAGTGGGCGTTTGGACATAATAAAGGTAAAAATTTCGAAAAAAATAATTTTTTTAAAAATAAAAATATTATTTAAAAATTAGAGTTGTGTTTGGACATGAATATAATTTTAAGTTGTTTTTGAATTTTTATGAGTGATTTGAATGAAAATTTTGAAAAATAACTTTTTGAAATTTTTTAAATTATCAAAAAATTTCAAGATCCATTTTCAAGCGATAATTGTAAATTTTATGGACAAACATTGATTGCGAAAAAAAATAAAAAATTTTCGAAAAAATATATTTTTTTTTTATGGCCAAACGGCTCTTCAGTCTAATTTACTCTATACACTCTATCATTTGATTCGGAGGTATTAGTGAAGTGCATATTATGTAACATAAAAGACTTTGAATACGAATATCACCATGCATGCAACCGTAATACTTATAGTGATATTATTTGTGAACATCCTTTAATTAGGAAAGAACTATGAGAGAAGTTATGTGACATGCAATGTTTATAACATCTCTTCCTAATCAACAAGATCATTATTATAAAACTAATTTAAAAAGATATACAATGTTTTCGTTTGGATTTTGAAAAATCTTTTTTATGCATATTTTTTAATCTTTTTGATATTTGGTAGTACCACAAATTTTATATCTCTTCTATGTCAACTGAGTTAATTAAAAAGAAAAAGAAAAAGAAATGGAGGAATTAACATGTTCAGTTCTTGAAGCAGAAAAAAGGAGAAAATTAAAGGTTGTGCTTTTCACGAGCCCCCAGATGGATACAGATTATCATGTTGCAGGGATTAGGGTTAGGGGCGAGGGGCTGTGCATCGATATCTGCACCTGGTACTCATGACCAGTACGTACCCTTATTGTAGGAACTACTCTTTTTCTGTTTCTTTTTTAATATAATAAATGCACTTTCTTTTTATCACCTATGTTATGTGTTTGTCTTTATGCATATGTGTTTCCAAAAAATATATTGGTATATATATATATATATTATTTTTGCTGATCATATATGCTAATATTATTTAATTATAAAATATTAAGCATATTATATATATTGGTGACAACTGCTAATGAGATTTCCGCTTGAACAATATGTTCTGTTTTACTTGGATAAAAATACGTCTTGCAAATCATACTACGTTTTTTAGTCTCATCTTTGTTAACATACGGTTTAATTTGTTAAATTAGGGAATAAATTAAAGTAGTACTATTAAACATTAATGAAATGCCAATTTAGATAAAGATGAACATATTACACTGCTTAATTAAAGGGAACTTTACATAACTGTCATAATTTAAAAGAAATATAACAAATCCGTAGCATGAAATCTAATATTACAGTTGTGGCAGGAAAATATTTATATTTGTAGCATACTGTTCCATTAAAATAGGAATATTAATTATTAATCTCTAAACATAAGCAATTTGAATAGAAAGTCAATAATTCTTTGTACAAAAATTATGCTTTTTTTTTTCCTCTTTGTCTATTAGCTTTCCTTCTTTTTATTCATCTTCTTAATTTTATTTTCTGTCTAAGCCAATATATTTTTTAAATTTGTTCCATTCGTTTTCTTTTTAATTATCTTTCTTAAGTTTTTCTCTTCCTTCTTTCTTCCTTTCTTAACATAAAGATCTTACTTCGATAATAATATACGTTAATATATACAAAAGGTATAAAAATATATATTAAATTAACACATATAAAATATGCATAAAAAATACATCTTCAATTAAGATGACACTTAGACATATGAAATATACATTAAAAAATATATCTTAAATTTAATTAAGATGGCATATAAATATACAAAAAACATATATATAAGAAATACATCCTGAATTAAAATGACACTTGACATATAAAATATATTTGAAATATACATTAAAAATACATCTTAAAATAAGATGGCACTTCACAAATAAATATACAAAAATTATATACATAAAAATACATTTTGAATTAAAGTGATACTTGATATACAAAATATAAAAGACGTATAAATCAATACATCTTGAATTTAGGTGGTATTCACATATGCATCAGATTTTAAAAATAGAGTGAAGAAGATGAATGTTGGGCTTAATTTTTGTAATATGCTAATAATGAAAAAAAGTGCTCTTTATGGAATAAACAATAAATGATGCTATTTTTTAAAATAATAGTTAAAAAAAAATCAAGAGGGTAAAAAACTGTTAATTAAATGCCGTCAAATTAAAGGGGATAGGTGCCAATGAGATATTCGCTTGAAAGATTGAGGAATAATTTAAGCTAGCGTTTGGCCATAGATTCCCAAATTTATTTTGAAAAATCTGATTTGGGTGAAGTATTGTTTGAAAATGAAAATGTGTTTGGACATCAGTTTTGGTTAAAGTTTAGTTTGGTAAAACATGAAATATGACTTATACCCACAAGTTCTAAAAATTATCACAAATACTCAACAGTACCATTATCAATAACATTCATTATATTATCGAAACCATAGTCCTGAACATAAATAAATTTGATACAAAATTATCATTTTTATAATGAACTACATGATACACTATCAGATGATCGAGAGGACGAAGCAACAATATTACAAAATAATAAATGGTGGGCTCTTTTATAAAATATAAAAGTTTGGGGCAATTTTTAAAAAATATAATAGTGATATTTTTGCCCAACACCAGCTATTGAGCTGGTTTTTTGTGATTTGGCCAAAATATAGATAAAATTTATGGCCAAACATGTGTTTGACAAATAAAACCCAAGTTTATTTTGAGAAAATCTATGGCCGGGTCCTAAATGTAGAGCTGCTTGAGTTTTGCAAAGTTTTGCTTATATTTCAACGAATATCACACACTACGTTTTTTTTTGTCTCACGCAAACAATATAGCCTCTTAAAAAAGAAATACTGCGTATGAATCTATTTAGGCAAATAAATTCAAAAATTTCCGTACGGGCACACAGTGCTTATATGTAGCTCCTTCTTTCTCATTTTCTCTCACAAACAGTTAGCCATGAGAGAAGCCATTATAGAGTTTTGGGAAGCTTTCCTAACAATTCTTATCATATTTCTTTGGCCAATGCACTTCTTGTTGACCATATTTTATGGCTGGGTTGAAAGGATGTGAAATTTTCCTACGCGGAGTTCTATCAATAATCTCCTATCTTACTTCTATTTTGGCCCTTGCCTTACATGGTTACAAACATGACAAAGGGGAAGAGATATTTGTCTACTATGGCACTGCCGGCGGGATGTGTTGCGTTTTATTTACTGTCATATTATGCTATCGTTCAGCTGAAGCATCATTCTTCGGTAAACGACCTGCTATTGTGTCGGCTGCTAATGGGAAGCAACTGAAACTTCTGGGTCCATTTCTTGGAAGGTTGATAGGCTGGTTGTTCACTCAATGCAAGGTCTTAGAAGAATATAATGTGTGGGCAAATCATGCAAACCAATAACCTCGTGTGCTCCAATTTCTGACCAATTATTTGTGTCAATTTTTAGTTTCACCACTGCAACTTTCATTCTTATCATGGTATTGATGCCTCTCAATACTGATTTCGGGTTGTTAAATTCGAGTGCTGGATTGTTATTTGGGCTGACATTGAGAGATTTCAAAGAAGATACGGTCCGATTCAGTGTTACTTCTATAGTATTGGGTGTATTCATGTACGTGAAGGCTGGATATGATACATATCTGGCAAGGCGGGCTGCTACCACGCTTCCGGTGCAAATGTTATCTCCTTCGGAGACGGAAGAACACCTGAGGGCAGAGACTCAAAATCTAAGGGAGAGGGCTCGTAGAGCCGAGTCCGAAGCTACTGCCACAACCGAGAAGATTCAAGGTTTAGAGCATGAGACTCGTGAAGCGTTGGAAGGAGCTCACGCCTCTATGATATATAGAGGCAATGTTTTTTAAAAGTGCTCTTGTTTCGACAACGGACAATGCTAACACTGTTGTGGCAGATTTGATCCAAAGGGAGCTAAATGCTTTATCGAGGGCCGATGTAGCTGAAACTTATGCCAAGGGAGAGACGACGAAAATTGATGTGCAACAATTAAAGTCGTTTAAGCATTGCAAAGTGGAGTTGCTATTAGGGAACAATTGGACTATCCAACAGTAAGTGCGAGTTTTTCCAGTCTATAGCTTCCATTTCTTTACAAGTCATGTTTGGCTCTTATATCTCCAAATTTATGACCAATTTCACCTTAATATTACTATAAGGATCCGTTCATTTCTCTATGACCTCTTTGTCGTCCTACCTATAGGGGTTTTGTCCTTCTTTTCTAGATACTATTACCTGATCACAATTTCCGTATGGTAAGTCCTTAGTTATATTGGTAGGACATAGTCATTGTTCTTGTTTTGTTAGTCGGTGTTTTTTAAAGTTGTGACTTGAATGCTAAATTATCATAAAACTACATTGCTTCCTGTTTCTTGAGTTCTAAGTTGTTCAATGACTAGATAACATGTTTGGCTGTTTGTTGAGATTAGTTTAGAGATTTAATTTACTATATCTAATTATAGTTAAGAGAGTTCATTTAGCTTGTCCGTGCATTGTTGCTTTGACTGCAAGCTCAATCCCCTTCTCCCAGTCAATATTGACTATTAATGCACAAGATAGCGCTTGTGCCTGACGAGGGATATTCACAATATTTGGGTTAATAGATAAATTATATAACGGACATAATCTGAATACTTGTATAATCTTTAAGGACTTCTTTACTTAGCTAAATGAGTTTCAGTGTAATTTCTTGCTCTCTCATAGTTGTAAAGAAAAGAATTATTTTTGCACTTTCTCGGTACTGTTGACTAAAGTTACTTCTTTACTTATCAAAATGAAAAGGATGAGGGCTTTTCTCAGTATAATAATTTTAGTGTTTCGTTCTGTTTCATAGGAAAATACTCTTGAGCTGATTCTGAGACTTGCACTCTTTTCCAATTTGTTTAACTGGATATCATCTTTTTATTTAAAAACTGTATTTTCTATGGCTTGCACTCATTATGTTTTCCGCAATATGAATGAGTGGTTATCTCATCAAGTCTTTTCATGTAGCAGCCCCCAAAATGGTAGAATTTGTGTCTAATAAGAAGTTGTATTTTAATCCTTCTATCTTGCTAAATTTTCTTTAAAATCTACATTCTCTTCCAGGGACCTACATCAAATTCTGAATCAAACTGTAGTTACTTCAAGTGGGCTACTGCTTCAACATTTAAGGAAAAGGGAAAGTGAAGTCTCCACTGCATATATTCGCCTAAATGATAAACGATTAAAACTCTGCCATAATGAGAGCTCAGGTTAGTTAAAAGTTCGAAACTTTCTCACTCGGAGTACATGTTATCTCCACATTTTTGTATTTTTTCTCAACAGGTAACCTTCTATTTCTACTTTGATGTGAAAAGTTGTAGCATCTTTTTACTTGATAAATTACAGAATCAGACCCCAAGTAACTTTCGGATTGAGGTGTAGTTGCTGTTAAACCGCATATCAACAGATCCAGCATTTGGTGTCATAATTAGCTGAAATTATATAACAACTGCATAACTTTTGATGTTTCCCTGGATGAGACCTTTGGTATGAGGTGTGTGTGTCCATTCTTTTTGCCATTATGTTCTTTGACACAATTACTTGGGTGTTAATCTTTCTTCACAACGTTACATCCTCCCATGTGCTTATGTGAATTTCACATATGAAGTTTGGGCATTGGGGTGGGAGTTTGGGGAATTGGTGTCCATACATATTATTATGTCCACATTGTAGAATAAAATAATTCGTGATCTTCTCAAAAAATATCATTTGTGTTACTAAAATTACCCATTCGGTTAGCAAAATCATTTGTGGCATTAATTTCATTTTTTCTGAAAGATGATGAATTAGTTTCGGAAGTAATCATAAAACTAATTTTCCAGGTGAATTTAGAAGCTGGTTTCTAGCTAGAAGGATGTTGATTAGTTATACGAAGATGATCAATTTTCTGATTTATATGCTTTCGTTGAGACATGAAGCTTTTAAGTAAATTTGTCATAATTTTCTGTGAAGGAACTTTATCAGAAAAAGTAAATTTTATTGAAGGGTTTGAACTTTGAAGTAACCATGTTTTTTGTGTTTTATTTTTCTTGCAAAACAACGGAGAATAATTGACTCGAGAAAATTAATAGTTGAAATTTGGAATCGACTAATATTTTCAATTTCTAATTTATTGGATCTTCACTACGTCTAATAGAATGGAAGTATGTCACTCTTTCATGTCTTTTTAATGATTAAAATTCATTGTTTTTCTAGCAAACTGAGGAATATATTAAAATCAAAATATTTTGTATTTGTTTTTATAAAAGCCTTTGTGATCAAAGTGCGTGTGGTGGGAGGTAGATAAAGTGTTGATGGTGATAGTGATAAATAGGAGGTGCCGAAAGCAAAGTTTTTTCTTATTGCTCAGTAGGGAGGAAGGACGAGGAGAGTGTGAGACAATTAGTTGTTTTCTACTACTACTACTTGTTTTTTATGGTGAGTAGAGAATATTCTTGAGATCTGAAAATTGGTATAGTAGTGCCATCATGGCTACTGCAATTCTTTCTTGTTCTACTGATTTATTGCTCAATTTGGTTGTTCATGGAGTTAATTAGTATATCTGGCTTGAACCTTTAATTTGGATAGACTATGCAAGATCAATAATTATAGTTGCACGGAGTACGGTACAATTTCATTCGGAAATCCCAGACGCTCTAGCTAGGGCTGTTAGAGGCAACTATATATGACGATTTTGATTGAGATGACCAACAAGGTAAGTCGACATCTGCTAATAAGTGATATTCTTGAGGAGCTGCAAGAGGAAAGAAAACAAAAGAAGAACAGAAATAAGGATAAAATGAGAATATATTTATTAGCAAATAAATACGAAACTCGGTAAATTCTGATGTTACTTTTTGCTATTAGCAAGGAAGGAAGGTACATCCATTTGAAGTAATTTTCTTGCCTACTGTGCTTCTGCATTTTTAGGTAATTGCAATTGATGTGCTGGATAAGGTTAATGACCGTGACACAGAGATCATGAGTCTTTATAATAAATGGATAACTGCCAGTAGAGCTAATAGGTGTATCATAGGAGAGAATTCAAGACATCGTTTGGTGAAGAACGTTAAATCAGCATCTCCATTTATGACTTACTAGGATGCTTAAGTCAAGTAGATGAGTCTGGAGCAGTTATGACATGGTAAATGACCGCAAATTTGGTCAACTAATTGGCCTTTACACAATTCTTACATATATTTGCACTAATAATATCTCTCTTCTAATCAGTTTTGCTTATTGCAGATTCTGTTTCTTCCCAAGCTCTTTGTTGGCATGGAGAAATGATATCTTTGCTTTGATCTATTTGAATCTTTGTCCATACTTGTTGTTTCATGAAGCAATTTGACATTTAACTTAGGGTTTGAAATTGGTATTTTGAGAACGAAGCTTTTCTTCTAGAGATGGACCAAATAATTGAAAGGTCTCCTACTGTGCATCCGATTTCTTGGAGTTCAAGGGGGAAAAACAGGTGATGACTCCAACATAGGATCTACTCGATAATGATCTTTGGGTGGTGGCTCAAATCAAATTTTTGTGATTACTTTGGTGTTGTCTGGTAAGATAGCAGATAAGAGGCGGAGAACTCTTTCTGTTCTACTATTTTTTCCTTCTTCTCTCTCATCATTGATCTCTTTCGCCCTCCACTTCATGGTTTGCATTTGCAATTTCTTCACTCTGTCAAGATTTCTCTGTTGTTTCTTTCTTTGTTGCTATATTTGTTGCTTATGGGAGTTTGATGGCCATTTATTAGCAGCCCCTTCTTTTTGGAGATTCTGTTGCTTAATTCTGTCGAAGTAGTGTCAATGCATGTGTATCTTTGTGTGTCATTTTCACATGGATGTCATTATTTAGCTGAAATGGTAAGAATATGTTAGTAAATCTTTGCCTGTTACTATTATTTTGCTGAAATTGGTAAAAGTCTGATAGTAATCCTTGCCTATTTATGTACATCCAAGTGACATTTTCATTTGTAGTCACTTTACTGAATTTTACCTCCTCAGCCCATTAACCTTTCTCTGTAACCTTACTCTCAAATCTTATTTTGCCAGGTTATCTTCTTAGTCTCACTCTCCAAATACTTCTTCTATGGTAAGTTCACAGTTCTCATGTCCATGTTCTCAATTAGTGAGAAACATCAAGTTACATTCCTTAAATGTGTTTGCTTAAAAAACTTCTCTATTTGAATATGAGAGTTACGTTACTTTATTTTCTTCCAATTTTATAAAAATCTATGTTAGTTGCATAAACTGATCTTCTTTAATATGCGTTTTTTTACTCAGTTACCCTGTATCACCTTCTACTTCTGTAAGCTTTGGCCATATCTTTCGGTTATAGTCGATATCTACCTATTTTCGGTGAGTTTTTCCAGTAAGCTTTTCCCGTAACCTTTATTTCTATCTTCCCCTACTTTTATTCTTGGGTGGTTGGAAATTGGAATGTGTATGTTGTATGCCTTATTTGCTCTTCTTTGTTTGCCTCAACTTCCATTCAGCCAGAATGTCAAATTAATGCATGTCAGTTTTATTGTTTATTCATATATTTCTTTGTGCAATTATAATCGAAAAGAAAACTCACAAGAGGTCTTTATTTTTGCTTTTTTTATCAAACAGTTGCAATTTAAAATTTTCTGGAGTTCCCGTGTTATTATTATTCAGGTAAGAATCCGGAGCGGAACTAAGAGTTTTAAGGAAGAAAAATTATGTAGGATTTTTCCTTAAAACAATACAAAGAATGTGTTATATTGTCTAAATAGAAAATTAGATAACACAACCACATCCTTTTATTTAGATATAGTTTTCTGTATTATGTTCTTCTGCTGGATTTAAGTCGTATATAAGTTTAATTCAAATACTTCATCATGAAAAATAAAGATAAATTTAATATATATATATATATATATATTAGAATAAATTATGCTTTTGGAATCTTTACCATGCAACCTTCTTATGTGTTTTAGGAAATAATACTACCATGTCTGTCTTTCGCACAACTCTTATTCATGTCTATGTTACATAAGAAAATGAAAACTATATACTGTATCTTTTGAAACTGCTCAGGCCTGCAGATTAGACTTTTCCCGAAAAAAAATAAGGAAATGAAAGTTTAAGACATGATGTGGTAAGATATAGAAGATGTTGCAAGGGATCCTCAAAGGAAGCAACAGAGCAAATATCTAATGAGCTGCAACTAGAGCACAAAACCAGAAAAAGAAGATAAGAAAGAAAATGAAATTAGTGGCCAGACCAAAGCAATTTAACATATAATTCACAATTGATAGAGCTGGAGGGACACCAACAACAACTAGCAGAAAAAATAGTTGTGATTGCTCCTATCAATTTCACTTTAACCCCAACCCTCTTGATGATGTTGTAACACATAATGTTACGGTAGCAAAGGAGGTCGTAGGTCATGAGAAAATTAGAGGAGGGGAAAATTAGGATGCGAGTGAAATATCAACAAGATCACAAACTCATAATACCTAACCTGCAAATGAAGATATACATTTTATAAGCCAAGCTAAACAAGGTGCTGAACAGACTGGGAGATATGGACGGAAATAGTGGTATACAGAATGATGCACAAGAATTTACTCATAAACTAAGAGCACACTAACAATGCAAGGAAGAAAATGAGATTGAGAATATACCTTAAGCAACAATTTTGATCAGGTAATGAGTAATCTAGATCTTAATGAAATTAATGGAGTAGCATATATCCCTACTAATGTGCTTGAATCCACATTCTTTTGACTATCTTTTCCAGTTATCAAAAAAATAATAAATAAGATGATCAAGAAGAATGTTATATCAATTATCAACCTATAAGTAATGTTTAATGATGTTTAATAGATTATTTGTAGAAATAATATATTAAAAAGTACTGTTGTGTAAAAATGAGAAGAATGATTTGAAGTTTTCTTCTTTGTATTTTCAGTATCTCATTTTGCAGTATATGCCTTGGGTTATATACAAGTATGAATGAATCTAGGGCTACATTCTATATTGCCAAGTGGCAATGTCCAATTAGTTAGTACAAAGTTGTACCTAAAACAAATACATGGATGGAGCAAATAATTAAATTACATGTATAAAGTTGTACATGGACGGAGGAAATAATTATAATACACATGTGCTATGCACAATGTGAATTAACCTATCTGAAAAGGGCAGGCCCAGAAGTGGGGTGTGTGTAATTAGGCCCAATGAAAAATGCATTGAGGACCCAAGTCAGGCCCAAAATCCGACTGGCCCATACTTGTTAAGTATACAGATCCGATTATATCATCCGCTTTGTACATCATCGGCTCCAACATGTTGTAAGTGTTATATGTTTTATGTCACTATAAATATAGGTGACAGAAAGTCTATTCTACTTTTTGCATCAACAGATTCCTTGTTAGTTTTTTTAGTAAAGGGTTATTCGTTTCTATTCCTGTTTATCTATTTATTTTGTGGGAAGAAGCGGATCTATTAATAGATTACCAGACAATTAGGGTTTTCCTCTCTATCCTATATTTGACATCTATACATGTTTGATTGTGTTTACCTGCTTTTTGAAGGTAACATAAAACTTCTATTTTGCTGCATTTTTCAGGAGGACGGAGACTGACTGCTAAGTTGGGGACTTTATATTAGGGTATGTTTTAAATGTTCCTAAAGATGTAAATATTACCTATATATTCTGGGTGTTACGTTACACATATATCTATGATAGCTGACTATGCTTTTTTGAACTGAATAGAAGTAGAGACATATAGTGTTCTTATGTCATATTTTAAATATATTATATAGACATGTGTATTTGGGTCGTTAGTTTTTCCTTTTGATTAAAAGTGGAGTTGTATCGTCATTAGCACCAGAATACTCGTGAAAGAAAAATTAGCTGAATAAATGACTTATTAGGTCTTGATCATGTTTGAACTTTTTTCTCATGTTTATGTGATATGTCCATTCATTCCTCTCATATTAAGGTGGTGGATGATTTTGGAATAGAAAACGGATGACAAAGAGAAAGAAGAACCAGTGGAATACTATACACTATTAAGTTGTTGGAGTGCTGGAACGGAGAAAAGCTAGCCAGGAGAAAGAACCAGTGGAATATGATAAGATGTTTTTAAGAGTGGAATATAAAAATAATGCTAAATCAATTCTTAGAGATGTTAAAAACATTACAGGGTTATACTTTTGTCGGATGTACTCATGTATTCTTTGTTGTTCCTGTACTTTACAACATAGTCTTAGTATTTTTTAATCTATATGAAATACCTTACATTCTACAAAAACCATACCCAAAAAAGAACCAAATTATTTAATCCAAACCTTTCATGTCCTTGCTAGTCTATATAGTATATCACGGTGGAAAATATGCATTAAAGTACATGAATATGAATAAGTTGTAAGTATGTGTATATCAGTATATATATATATATACACTAGTTATGATAATAGTCAAATAAGAACAAACATAGAAGACAAAACGGAAAGAAAAAGATTGATATGAGGATTTTCTTTTGATAAAGAAACTGGAAAATTGACACGGATAGGTATGTTTAGGTGAGAGAGTATCTTAACATATATATATTAATTAGGAAAATGGAAAGATTTATATAATTTAATTTAAAAGTTAAAAGTTTTGAAATAAATTGTATTTGTGTAACTTTTTGAAAGTAGATGTGATTTTTTTAAATAAGTTTTAAAAGAGTTGTATTATGTGTAAATTACACAACATGGATCAGATTTAACCTAGCTAGGTATACATTGTTGTGGTACTTTTCTTTGTCGTGACTAGGGGTGGCAAACTGGCGGGGAGCGCTGGGTCGGATATGATCGGATCGAAAACGGATAATTTAAAAACAGATAAATTATTCGATCAGACCCGTAGGCGGATAACATGGATATCCATATTATCCATTGCTTCTTGAATATGATCACTTATGGGAGAATTCTTAATCTTCCATACTTGAGGAACCCCCAATTTGAGGCTTTACAAATATAAAAGTTAAACACATTAGTTATCCATTGTTTATCCATTTGGTTAACCATTTTCTAAGTGGATAATTCGATCCGTTTTTAAAAAGTTCATTATCCAACCAATTTTTTAATGAATAATATGGGTGAATAACTGTTTTCTTTTAACCATAATTTTGCCACCTATAATCGTGACCCTTTTCATGTTTTCTCCTTTAGTATGGCTCTCTCAGGAATCAGGATGACTGTTCTGGAGTAAGTGTTCTTAGAGTGAGAAAAAAAGGTAGATATATATATCAGCACATATATTATGCTTTCCTTTATTGTTATAAACTAACAAATTAAAGAACACTAGCTTAAGAGAGCAAAGCCGATCATATAAAAGGTACTTAATATTTTAGGAAATGATAAGCAGGCAGGTATAATAGTTTCAGACATGAAATTATCAACTTGCACGTGTATGTTTAACAAAAGTTTCTAAATTTCTAAGTCGTCACTTGTATGTTAACAGATATGATCGATTTAAATAAGTTGGGTAACTTTAGTTGTTATCAATATAAACAATTTTCAAAAAAGGTTTATGAACATGTATAGTATTTCAGTTAGTCGTAAGATTACTTAAGTAGAAAATAATGTTTTGCTCTAGCCTAATGTAGTTGTACTGGAATTTTATTAATCTCTGTCACGATCCCAAATTTCCTCTGTAAGATATCGTGATGATACTTAATTTCTAAGACTAGGTAAGCCTATCAATGCGGAATATAACTGAATACAAAACTGAAATTTAATCCTTAACAGTCGAATAACTAAAAACTGCAATTTAACAATTTCAACTCCCAAAACCCGGTAGAAATAAGTTACAAGCTTTTAAGAATTTATTCTCTATGTCTTTATACATCAGAGTCTAAAGCAAATAAGGAAGACAACATAATAAGATAGAAGGGGACTCCGGAATCTGCGAACGCTGACAGATATACCTCGAAGTCTCCCCGTACAACTAATTCACTGATGTCTGGTCTGATAAGATATACCTGGATCTGCACAAAAAGATGTGCAGAAGTGTATGTATGAGTACAATACAGCGGTACCCAGTAAGTGTCAAGCCTAACCTCGGTAGAGTAGTGATGAGGTTAGGTCAGGCCCTACTAGAATAATAAAAGATATGGTGACCTGTTTAACAATATAATAACAATAAATGACAATGAAAATAAATCAAGTAAGTAGTATGTCACCATTAAATTTTACAGAATAAGGGCAAATAATACCTTGCGGCAAGAAGACAAAAATTTACAACTTTAAGAAAATCACGACAATAATCAAAGGCAAATGCAACCATAAAGAAATATCAACAAGGGAACTCCCGAGGTACCGCCTCGTAGTCCCAAATCATAAATAAATTCATAATATCTCATTTTCCTTATATCACCGCGGGAGCCTTCACATTTAATTTTAAAGAAAATATTTTTTCCGAAATAGCATCCCGCGTTTTAGTGTAACGACCCGACCGGTCGTTTTGAGAATTTGAACCCCGATCCCCTAATATCTGCTTTTCCCATATTTGTTTATGCTTTTGGGACTTGCGGGAGTGTTTGGTTATGGAATTCGGGGAGTTTTGGGACACTTAGTCCCTAGTTGTGAGTTTAAGCCTTAGAGTTTGGACCGTAGTCGGAACTGTATGAAAACGGATCCGGAATAGAATTCTGTCGACTCCGTTAGCTCCGTTGAGTGATTTTGGGGTTAAGAGCGCGTCCGGAATGTATTTTGGAGGTCTGTAGTAGATTTAGGCTTGAATTGGCGAAAGTTAGTTTTTCGGCGATTTCGGCCGATAGTGAAAATTTTGATATCGAGCTCCGGATGGAATTCTGAAAGTGGCTGTAGGTTCGTAGTGTCATTTGTGACCCGTGTGTAAAATTTGAGGTCATTCGAACTAGATTTGATGTGGTTCGGCGTCGTTTGTAGAATTTGGAAAATTTTAACTTCTTAGGCTTGAATCCGTGCTTAATTCATGATTTTGGTGTTATTCGACGTGGTTTAAAGGCTCGACTAAGTTCGTATAGTGTTTTAGGAGTGATTGGTATATTTGCTTGAGGTCCCGGAGGCCTCGGGTGTGTTTCAGATGCTTAACGGGAAGAAATTTGGACTTAAAAAAATCTGGTGCATTGCTGGTTCTAGTGTTTCGCACCTGCGGAGGGGAGTCCGCAGGTGCGGACTCGCAGGTGCGCTTGAGAGTTCGCAGATGCGGAAATGGACATGGCATGCTGGGCTCGCAGGTGCGGCTGGTCGTCCGCAGAAGCGGAGCCGCAGATGCGAACCTAGCCCAATAAGTGATTTCCGCACCTGCGTTGATTTTTCCGCAGGTGCGAGACCGCAGATGCGAAAATCGCTGGGTAGAAAAGGGGATTTCGAGGGTTTGAAATTTCATAATACAAAATTCGATTTGGAGCTCGGTGGGAGATGATTTCTCGAGGGATTTTGAAGGAGAACTATTGGGTAATGAATTCTAACTCTATTTTGATCATAATACAATAATCTATTGTTGTTTTCCTTGTCTAATTAAGAAAATTGAGGGTAGAAGTTTGAAAATGGGGGAAAAGGTTTTCCAATTGAAAATCTGAGATTTGAATGGGAATTTGACGTCGGATTTAGATGATTTTTGTTCGAGTGAACTCGTGAGTGAATGGGTGTTTATAAATTGTAATTTTTATCCGATTTCGAGACGTGGGCCCGGAGTGACCTTTTGGGCGTTTTTCCTAATTTCACGCTTTAGCTTCGAATTAATTAGATAAATTAGTTTCTTGTAGTTATATTTATATTATGCAATTTATTTGAATAGATTCGGGCCATTTGGAGTCGGATACTCGTGGCAAGAATGTGTTATCGAGGTGATTTGAGCGGTTCGAGGTAAGTGACTTGCCTAACTTTGTGTTGGGGACTTTCCCCTTAGGATATTTCGATATTATTTAGTGTGTGAGCGCCGTGTACGTGAGGTGACGAGTACGTACACGGGTTGCTATTGCAAAAATCCCGTTTATCCTTTTTTTTAATCATAAATTGTTCCTCTTATTAAATTACACTAATATACTTAATTGTTTAGTTTAGACTAGAAAAGCATGCTTACGTGTTTTAATTGCCTATTTGACATTCTGTGCGCCATGCTTAGTTAAATCCCTATTTTTCTTATCTGTGTTCAGTATAAACTATATAACTCGATGTCATACCTGCCATTTCATCTTGCGTTGCATATTTAAATTGGGACTACGGACGTATTCCGGGAGATCCTCCTGTCTTGCATATTTACTTTGGGACTTCGGACGTATTCCGAGAGATCCCCCAGCACTGCATATTTACTTTGGGACTACGGACGTATTCCGGGAGATCCCCCAATACTGCATATTTATTTTGGGACTACGGACGTATTTCGGGAGATCTCCTGTACTGCATATTCATTCGCAGCTACGGGACGGTATCTCAGGAGATTCTCCATTGTGTTTACTTTGTTCTGAGCCGAGGGCTCCCTTAACTGTTAAATTTTCGAGAATTTCTTTAACTGTGTTACCGTGAATTTTGCTTATATCTTTTACTGTTTAATTTATTATATTTACTCCAGTAGGGTCTTGACCTGACCTCGTCACTACTCGACCGAGGTTAAGCTTGGCACTTACTGGGTACCATTGTGGTGTACTCATGCCCTTTCCTGCATATGTTTTCAGGTGCAGATCCAGGTACGAGCTATCAGCCTTGGGGTTAGTGCGTGCTGCTGATTCTAGGAGATTTGAAGATACTTCTGCTTGCGTCCGCAGATCTTCGGAGTTCCCTTCTACTCCCTCGCCTATAGACTTTCTTTATTATATTCAGACTTTTGTATATAGTTACATAGATTATAGCAACATGTGACTTAGTGATATTTCGGGTCTTGAAAAAATTATTTTGTATATGCCGAGTGGTACTACTCTTGGTTATTGATAATATGCTGTTTATCTTTAAGATGTTGTGTTTTTTTTTTTATATTTTTCGTAATATTAGGTTTACCTAGTCTTAAAGACTAGGTGCCATCACGATACCGTACGGAGGGTTAAGTTGGGTCGTGATAAGTTGGTATCAGAGCACTAGGTTCATAGGAGTCACGAGTCACAAGCTGGTTTATTAGAATCTCGTGGATCGGTGCGGAGACGTCCGTACTTATCTTCGGGAGGCTCTGTAGCTATTAAGAACAATCATATTTCTTTGATTTCTTTGTCGT